CACATCTGTACTTACCTGTTCCAGTTGTGTTAAAAGCCTTGGTCCTACAATATGGGATGGGAATCAATGATCTTGGGGCTGGGTAGGAGATTCAGGGCATGAGAAAGGTGTACGTTAATGAATGCTCTAACAAAGCCAAATCAAAGTGCTCCATCTATATTTAAAAATCCTAGCACAGAGACATCCAATGAAACTGAAGGCATGGGTAAAAGGGAATACTTTCATATATAGCCCATCATCAAACTGAGGTACTCGCTGCCACAAGATATCACCAGGGCCAGGAGATTAGTAGAATTCAAAGATAAGGCTAACGAAACCATCCACAATGACATTTAAAAGCATTTAGCAGTGGTTTGATAAGGAATAAGCCAATCACTGACAGAGCCGGGAGCTGGGGAAGGAACTGCCCTCATAGGCAAGTTTTTGAACAATTAGGAAGTTGTGAAGCAGCTAGTGTCAGAAACTGAGAGAGGACACAAGGCTAGATGAGCCCTGGTCTGATTCAGTTCAATAAGTCCACCATCTCTGAAACACTGAATATTCAATTTTAATTAGATGTGGTAATGCAAACCCATCACCTTGCAGAGACCAAGGGCATCCCTCACTGCTCAGGCAGGCATCTACCAACAGGCTAGGACTCCAGGCTCCAAGACCTGATTTGGAAGAAAGCACTATATACCATGACACTGGAAGACACAGATAATATGCAAGCATGAGTCAGACACCAGAACTCCAGGGAGGGCCATGGTTTCAGAAACACCTCTGTGCTCAGTGTTTCCTGTTGACTGGATCTAGGCAGCTCCCTGCTCAGGGTTTCTGTGAGTCACCCTTTGGAGACTCCTAACTCTCCCCGTTGACTGTACAAGGAGTTGAGATACCAATTCACCGTTTCTTTGAAACACCCTCATGGAGCCAGATACCTCATTTTTAAGCATGTGAAAAACCACGATGGAGACACCTAAAGGGCCAATTTGGATTTGGCCCTATGTAGCCATAAAGGGAGCCTGGAACAGAGCTGGGAGTCAAACCTTAGCTTCCAGAGTCCCAGTCCAGTGCAATAACAGTATAACCATGTCTCCTCTGTTCTCCCCAAACATCCAAAACACCCACCCCTAAGTGAGAGGCCTTCTGTAACCCCACACTTCACCTTGTCTATGGGTATAAGACTAATGGTCAGTGAAGATGCGGGATCCCAGCTCCAAAGAGTTAATCTTTCTTAAAGATGGAGGAATGGGATAGCTTTCTCCTGAACTCCTCCTTGCTCTCTCTGTGCTCCCATTGCAGAAAATGGGCTGATGTTTGCTCGCTCGCTAGCTTTGGCAACATCAAAAGGGACTAACTGGCTTGCCAGGCGTGAAAAGGATAATTCATTGCACTGGGCGGGTGCATTAGCATTTACAGCAAGGGGATAAACTGCATGTGGCAATGAGTGTTCATCATCCCTTTGGTCTGGCTGTCAGTGCATGATTGGGCTGCAAAGCGAGGGGCTAAGCCAGTGTCAAATCAGTGGTTCGACAGCAGGAAGATGAATGGACCCCTCCCTGACACTGCTTCCCAAGCATGCTTCACAGGGGAGAGAGAATGCAATTTCCCAGTGTTGGTATCTCAAGCAAAGTAATTACTTCTTAGCTTTACAGCAGCAGCCGAGGGCTTGCGTACCTCAGTCGTCTCCACCAGAGGAGGCCAGAGAGCCAGTGTTTGGACAGCAGGAGAAATGGGAGCAAGTTCCAAGCCTGTGTAGATTCAGGAAGCAATGAAGGGAAAAGTGGGGTGGGGGCAGGAGGAAGAATGATGACTATGATTCAAGCAGGGGGGTAATACTTGCAGGCAAGACTCAGACCTGGGACTGAAAGTGCAAGCTGCTGTCAACCTAAGCAAGACGAGCCCGTGCTGGATGCAATGCAGAGTGCAGCTGGATAAGCCAGAACAGTGACAGAAATGCGAGCATCCTGCATTACTCAGACACCACAATCACTCACTTCGTGCAGACATGCTGCACCTACAATCCCCAGAGAACCCATTGCAAGCGCTACAACTGCAGACGAATCACCATTAGTTGCAGAAGAAGCAGAAGACGACAATGATACCTGGGAACTCCTTTTTAGAGCTCCTCTGTTGCTCATCTACTATGGCAAGAAGCATGGACTAGACGGCCAGACTCCTAAGTAGACAGAGGGCTACAGAACCCAGTGGTCGTACCTGTGGCCATTCCAGCAGAAGCCCTCCTACAGGAGCTGTCAGTAGCTGGAGTATGCATTTTTCTTGATGGGCACCGTGATTTACTTTTCCTCCCCACATGCATAATTACAGGACTACAGGCATTGCCAACTAGATCAAACCAGGGGGGCATCTAGCCCAGTATACTGGTTTTTACATTGATCAGCACCAAGTGCTTCACAGAAAGGTGCAACATCTCCCTCACTGGACTTTTATGAAATTCCCCGGTCATTGCAGGCTGAAGGAATTTCTTCCTGACCCATTAGAGTTTGGCTCTTATTTCACTGAAATGTTATCTTGTCTATTCTTGTTCATGCATCCTTAATAGCAATGTTTCTGTTATCCACATGTCTCCTTTTTACCAAATCCTTCTTGCCTCCAATACCTTGTGGAGATGAGTTCCACAAGCTCTTTGTGTGAGATGCAAGGCTTAAATGCTAAGTGAGTTATTTTCAAATCACTGTAACCGGGATCCAATTGGGCACATTCCCTCTTTCAGCTTTCATGGCATCAGATGAGCCCGGGAAGCACAGAGCTCTGCTTTGCCACATAACCATGTTTCTTGGTCACTTTGGGGATCAGATGAAGATATGATTTCAGTGAACCCCACGTAAAGGGCTGCAATAGCAGGGGGCTGTGGGCTGGGCTGGGGAGGTACTGGCAGAGCTGACTGTGTAAAGAGGAAACAGAAGAGGGGGCTATGGGGTAGGATTGAGGAGCAATGACTGAATCGGTGGGTACAGGGAGCCCATAACAGGGCACTGAGCATCCAAACTGAGGGACACTGACAGAGCTGTGGGTGGGAGCAGAGCTCAGGGCTGGAATAGCAGGTGGGAGCGAGGCCATTGGCAGGGCTGTGTGGGGAATGATTTCACAGCACCTGCTGCACAAATCTACCATTAGCAGACTGTCATTTTCATTAGCTCTAAAAGGCACCAAATTTGCTCCTTAATTAAGGGGCAATCCAGTGGAATTCTTGTGGAATTAGGTATCATCTCTCAGAAAGGAGCAGCTGAGCTCGCCCTGATTCATGGCATTGCACTGCATGAAGCAGGGACTGGCATTACTCCAGCACAGCTGTCTTCCCATTCCACCCCCCTAGACAAAGGCATCACTGAGAAGAGGGCAACACCATGCGCACTTGCCATGGGCTGGAGCCAAAGCCTGCAACAAACAGCCCTCTACTAAGGAGAAAGCTCTGATCTGGCTTTGATTTTGCAGCTCAGATCCTGCTTTCATGAAAATATGCAGGCAACAAAACACTGTCCACACTGTCTTCTGACCTGTTGACCCCAGACATACAGCTCATGACCTGAGAGCAGCTACAGCCTCCAAGCTGCCAGAATGTGTCCCTGTTCACATCCTACCACCACACTGGAGATTTCCCTGACTGACAGTGACTCTCTTCTCTGGTTCCTGCTAAATCAGCTGGTGACAATTTATCCTCAAGGCACATGCATCTGGAAGGCGATGTCTCCCTGTGAAGGCTGACCTGCCCACAGCCTTCAGTGAGTTATACACATGTGCAGCTCTCAGGAGCAGGGTGTGAGTGTAACTTTTGTACCTTTGTCTTTGGCTATAGAAAGGCAAACGTAAACTACAATCCTAAAGCACTGTACAAGGAGGGTGGAAAACCTGGTCATTACCTACCATTTTGCAAATGAGGAAATGGTGTTGTCTAAGGTCACCTGGCAAAGCAATGACTAGAGCACAAGTCTCCTGGCTCCCAGCCCAGTACATCGATTTCCAGCTCCAAGCCCCTTTTGGGCTCACTGCCCACCAGGATTTAGCTGAGCAAGTCTTTTGGTGCAAAGAGCAACACAATCATCTCTGCAGAGTATTTGCAACTGAGGTGCTTGCAGACTTAGCCATTGGGGTCAAAAGTAACCCTGTGCAACTCACCTGGCAAACAGTACCTAATTGAACCAACACAGCTTGAATGTCAAATGCTGGCCATGAGCCCAAGAGTAAAAGAACATGAATAAATATGAACTGAGTGACTGTGGATACAAAGGGAAACTGCACTCCACTGCTGGGGACTGACAGTAGGAGCAGAAAAGCCAGGTTGTATCACATTGTAACTCCAAGAGGGAGATACTGCATGGGGATAGAATATGTTTAATTAAGGATAGCCAATAGTATAAATGGCGCCAAATTAGAGGGGGTACCAAAATGGCATCCCCCCGAGAATCTGCACCCTGGCAGCAGCATCCTGTGTCCCTGAACCCACACCATGACAGCAGCATCCCAGGTGGAGAGAGCACCCAGGGTCAAGTAAGACCCTCCAGTGCACAGCACAACCCCCCCAAAATGCCTCCACTCTCTGACATCTCTGTCCAGAGAGAAAAAATGGCTAATGACACCTCTGCCCACAGCACATCACCAGAGATAACCTTAAACCATCCAGCTCTCCCTGGTCCCGGGACTGGTGCTGGCACTCTGCAGATTCAAAGATTTATAGGGGTCACAGACCAGGATGATTTTCATCGTGTAAGACTTTCAGGGCTGTCATCAATTCCTCATTAACACACTGGTCCCTGTGCTTACGTTTGGATGTGTCTGGAAGATTATAGGAAGAACAAACACTGTGGATCAGCTCCGACAAATTCCCAGTGCCTAGCTACCTCCCTGCTCCAGAGGAGTTCATTTTAAATTTCTCAGGCCACTCAAAGGTGCTGTTTTTCATTCTAGTCTAGCTCCATCCACTCCCAGCGAGTTACACCAAGGAATGGATTTAGCCCAGGAGGCTGTCAGAAAACAGGATCAATAGGATTTGGACTTACCACGGCCACTTGCATGGACCAGTCAGTCAATACCGTAGGAATCTCTTGATGGGCAAGAGAGATGGATAACCTAAAAAAAATACAAAACAGCCACAGTTAGATGGGGAGATAGTCATGTACTTTCTCACTGCCTACCCAAGGTGCTGGGATCCCTTCTCCACTGGGCGCTGACACACAGGCTATTAAGCACTGAGGTAGGCCTAAATGGGAGTGAACTTTTTGATCTGGTTCAATTTGATTTTGCTTCTCTAGACTTTTTCAGACCCCTTCTGCCTGGCAACTGGATGGTCTGTCTTGGTCTTATTGTAAGGGCCCACAGTGGGGACCAAAGGGAGATTTTCCAAATCATAAAGGCTAGGGACAGAAATTACACATACACCGATATAAGTGATCGGAAACTGGTTAAAATCTGTAACACAACAGAAGTTCAACGCACGTAAACCATTTTTCAAAATGGTCAAAACCAGTTTAAGGTAAACCTGGATGGATGTAGTATCAGACTTAACTGATTTAGGTTAAATCGGTTTATTGAACTTCTGTCCCAGATCCCCTCCAGATTCAAGTTAACTCTCAGTCCCCCAGCATCCCAGGATGCTTTGCACCTCCCTTGCCAGGTGAATGGGTTAGCCTTGGCCAAAGCTGAGCAGGTAGGTTTGCTCTAGCGCCCCCCAGCTTCTGGCCTGGGCCGCTGCAGGCACGTGGCTGCATTTCCAGAACCAAAAGTGAATGTCTGTTCACTTGCTTATCATTTCAATCTACACGGCTTAGACTACCCTGTGAAGGTTGAATTGATTCAACCTTGGGCTTTTTGATGGTCTGTACTTAGCCAAAGGGTATCTGAGCACTTAAGGCCAAATCTAATTTCACTTTTACATGCCTAAGTGCTACTTAGACATCTAAATGTGCTATTTTTTACAGTTATGCAGATTTTTTATCCTGTTTCCACCTGCACATCTATGATTGCCCTTCTGAACATGCCCAGAAAGCTCCACTGTGGCTGCACGTACCCTGGGGCAATCCTACTCCACCTAGGTAGGTGTGTGCATACATCTTCAAAAGCGCGTCTAGAAAAAAACCAGAACTAGCTATAGTTTGTGAGGGAGGAAAACCCTCCCACCTGCTAGCCCAATGATTAGAGCACATGTCCTGAGTCCAGGGCCTCTCATTCAGGGAAGGGTCAGATGTGTACTCCCTACTTCCTTCCTGGCCTTCTCCTGAAGCAGGGGAGGATATGTGGGACCTACAAGAGAGCAGCCCAGAAGCATGGCTCCATGAGATGTAGGGGCCCAGGGTTCTGGCCCCACGTGGCAGGAGCTCTTCCAATATGGTGTAGCCATCACTTGCGGGTCCGCACAAATGTTAGAAAGCGG